GGGGAGGAACCGAGAGGTTGAGTGTTCTGCCCGCTCACCAGCCCTGCCCCCTGCCGCCACCCACCTCCAGTTTCCCATTCGCCATTGGGTGATTGGAGCCTGTTGGCCGGGGAAAGGGACCTAGAGGTGGTCAGTTCACCTCATAGTGACTAGTCGAGTGGTCGTTCACGGTAAGGGTCAATTTGCATATTACCCTTTTATTATATAGGATAGAGGCCCAGTGCACACATGTGGGCCTGCGGGGCCGTCTAGCCGCTGTCGTTCTGATCTTTGGTCATCCTGCCGTTTCAGTCGCTGGGCTTTTATTATATAGGATTGATATGATTATGTTATTTTTATCCCTTAGTTTGTTTATGTGATGTATCATGTTTATTAATTTGCGGATATTGTACCATTCTTGCATCTCTGGAATAAATTCCACTTGGTCATGCTGTATGATCTTTCTAATGTAATGCTGGTTCTGATTTGCTAGAATTTTGTTGAGGATTTTAACATCTATGTTCATCAGGGATATTGGCCTGTAATTCTCTTTCTTTGTAGTGTCTTTACCTGGTTTTGGGGTTAGGGTAATGCTGGCTTCATAGTAAGAGCTTGGAAATGTTCTTTCCTCTTGAATTTTTTGGCATAATCTGAGGAGGATAGTTTTAGTTCTTCTTTAAATGTTTGGTAAAACTTCCCTGTGAAGCCGCCTGGCCCGGGGCTTTTGTTTGCTGGAAGCTTTTTTAAATTACTGCTTTAATTTCATTGGTAGTTATCCGCCTATTCAGGTTTTTTTTTTATTTCTCCTGATTGAGATTTGTAAGGCCATATTTTTCTAGGAATATGTCCATTTCTTCTGGGTTGACCAGTTTGTTGGAATAGAGTTGTTCATAGTATTTTTTTTACAATCCTTTGTGTTTCTGTGGGGTCTGTTGTTATTTCGTCTCTTTCATTTCTGATTTTGTTTATTTGGGTCCTCTCTTTTTGCTTCTTGGTGAGCCTGGCTAGAGGTTCATCCATCTTGTTTATCCTTTCAAAGAACCAGCTCTTGGTTTTATTGATTTTTGTTGTTGTTGTTGTTTTTATGTAGTTTATTTCTGCTCTGATCTTTATTATTTCCTCCCTTCTGCTTACTCTGGGCGTTTCTTGTTTCTCTCTTTCTAATTTTTAAGTTGTTGGGTTAGATAATTTAAGTACCATTTTTCTTGTTTTTTGAGGTAGGCCTGTAGAGCTATGAACTTCCCTCTCAGGACTGCTTTCACTGTGTCCCATAGATTTTGGATTCTTGTAGTTCATTGTCATTTGTTTCCAGGATGCTTTTGATCTCTCTGGTAACCCAGTCATTGTTTAATAGCATGCTATTTAGCCTCCAAGTGTTTGATTTTTTTTCATTGTTTTTATTGTAGTTGATTTCTAATTTGATGCCATTCTGCTCTGAGAAGATGCTTGATATGATTTCTGTCTTCTTTAATTTGAAGAGACTTTCCCTGTGTCCCAATATGTGGTCTGTCTTTCAAAATACCTCGTGTGCACTTGAGAAGAATGTATATTCCGTAGCTTTGGGGTGAAATGTTCTGAATATGTCAATTAAGTCCATCTAATCTAGTGAGTCATTTAGGATTGCTGTTTCTTTGTTGATTTTTTTGTCTAGAGGATTTACTCAGTGATGTCAGTGGGGTATTAAAGTCTCCTAATATGATTGTATTGCTGTTGATCTCTCCCTTGATATCTTCCAGAAGTTTTTTTATGTTTTTGGGTGGTCCTGCATTGGGTGCATATATGTTTACCAGAGTTATATCCTCTTGTTGTATCAATCCCTTTAGTATTATGAAGTGGCCTTTTTCATCTCTTATTATGGCCTTCACTTTGTTAGATATAAGTATTGCTACCCCAGCTTTTTTTTTTCATTTCCGTTTGCCTGAAAAAATATTTTTCCATCTCTTCACTATCAGTCTATATGAGTCCCTTGTTCTGAGGTGGGTCTCTTGTAGACAACATATATATGGGTCATGTTTTCTTATTCATTCAGGCACTCGATGTCTTTTGATTGGAGCATTTAATCCATTTAGGTTTAAGGTTATTATTGATAGGTACTTCTTTTTTTTAAATATATTTTATTGATTTTTTACAGAGAGGAAGGGAGAGGGATAGAGAGTTAGAAACATTGATGAGAAAGAAACATTGATAAGTTGCCTCTTGTACACCCTCTCCTGGGGATGTGCCCGCAACCAAGGTACATGCCCTTGACCGGAATCGAACCCGGGACCCTTCAGTCCACAGGCAGACGCTCTATCTACTGAGCCAAACCGGTTAGGGCGATAGGTACTTCTTTATAGCCATTTTTATTCTTTAGGCCTGTGTTCTTTCTTCCCTTTTTATTTGTTCTTTTTACAACAGTCCCTTTAAAACTTCTTGCATTGCTGGCTTGATAGTGATAAACTCCCTTAGCCGTTTTTGGTCTTTGAAGCTCCTGATTTCCACTTCAATTTTGCATGCTAGCCTTGCTGGATAGAGTATTACTGGATTGAGTCCCTTTGCTTTGCATCACTTTGTATACTTCCTTCCATTCCTTTCCGGCCTGATGTGTTTCTGTTGAGAAATCATTAGACAATCTAATGGGAGATCCTTTGTAGGTACCTGTTTCTCTCTTGCAGCATTTAAGATTCTCTCTTTGTCATTAACGTTTGCCATTGTAATTATCACGTGTCTTGGTGTGGGTCTTTTTTGCTTCATTTTGTTTGGGACTCCCTGTGCTTCTGTGACTTCTTTCTTCTCCAAATCAGGGAAGTTTTCTGTCATTATTTCTTCAAATAGGTTTTCTATTCATTCCTCTTCTTGTTCTTCTGGCACCCCTATTATATGTATGTTGCTTTGTTTCATGTTGTCCCAAGTCTCCCTTAGCTCTCCTCCTGCTTTCTAATTTTTTTCTCCAGTTGCTGTTCAGATTGGGTGTGTTTTACTGCTCTGTCTTCTAACTCACTAATTTGGTCCTCCTCTCCTTCTAGTCTATTGTTGAAACCTTCCATTGTGTTTTTTATTGTAGCTATATCATTTTTTATTTCCTCTTGATTCTTGCATAAGTTGTTGAATTTCTCATCCAGCCGGTTTAGGAACTGTATGACCCTTATTTGGAATTCTTTTTCTGACATATTGAATGCCTCTGTTTCATTCAGTTCCTTTTCTGGCCATTCCTTCTTTTTCCCCCTCTTTGGGGCTTGTTTCTTTGTCTCCCCATTTTTGCTCTCACCAGAGTGCCAGCGTGCCTAGTCACTGCACAGGGTGGCTGAAGCGGGAGGGGAGTGCACTCAGGGCTCACAGGAGCCTGCGGCCAGGGAGGCTGGGGTCCCAGTGTTTGTGGGTCTGCAGATGAGGTAGCAGTTCTTTGGCCGGAGTGGCTGTAGTGTCCGGGATGGTGTCTGAGCTTAGTCTCGGTGGTGGTGATGCTGGGCTCCTAGTCATAGCAGCTCTCCCCTTCAAAATGGCGTGTTTTCTGAGCTAGAGCCAGCAGCCCTGGGAGTGCTTGCAGCCATAGCAGGGGCTCCCTATCTAGTAGAGTCTGGTCTGCCAACCCCTGAGACTCCTGCAGGATCTAACTGTCACACACACACACACACACACACACACACACACACACACACGTCCAAACGTCCACATACTCCCCTTTCACTCCCTCACTCACTCTCACTCTGTCCCTCATTACCGTCCTGCCAGCCTCCATCTTGACTCTTTTGCAAATTTCTTTAATGTGTAGCCTAAGAAAAGGCAACTGGTTTCTCATATCTGCTTCTGATCTGTTATGTTGTGTTTTGGTTGAAATACATAAAAAAATTTAGTCTTATACAGATAATGTAGTCAAAACAGGGAAAAGTATTCTTTAAAAATCTTTATTGTTGAAAATATTTCATAGGTCCTCCTTTTCCCCCCATTAACCTCTTCCAGCCCGCTCCCATCCTCCTCCCTCCTCCCCCCAGGCCCTCAGCACCCCATTGTCTGTGTCCACAGGTTATGCCTATTTGCATACAAGCTCATTGGTTGATCTCTTCCCACCCACCCTCCCTTGCCTTCCCTACCAGGTTCAACAATATGACACTGGGTCTATTTTTGAGCAACAGTTGATTTGGTTCATTAGATTCCACATATGAGTGAGATCATATGATACTTATCTTTCTTTGACTGACTTATTTCAGGGAAAAGTATTTTAATACTCAGATAATTGTAGTTATTCTTTGATACCACATTAAAATTCTACAAGTAGTAGTTTCTTAAAGATTAGTTGCAATGTGGAATTTGAAACCATGTCTAAACTTTTTCATACTCAGCCTTTAAAATCCATTGGTCTGTTTTGCACTAGAATGAATTTTTTACCTGTGCAAGATTTTGTAACTTATGCAGCCATCATTTGGAAGATATTGGTTTACTGGTTATGTAGGTCTTCCAAATGTTGACATTTTATTATGTCATAACCAAAAGTCATATTCATTAATATCACACCAGTCTCATTGCAAGGGGTTTTCAAGTTATTGTGAAGCTGTCAAGCTCATAGTTATGGATACAAGTTTTTAAAAATTCTACGTACCACTTGAAAGTTTGAATTTTATCATTAGTAATATATGGTCAGTTGTTTTTCTTGAGTCTGACATCCTTACTTTATTCACTTGTTGAAAAAATGTCCATGAAATAGCCACATCTGAATTTTTTGTTATTTGTCCATCTAAAAATAGTGTTCCATTTTTAAAAATTGCTAATTCACTCTTTTGATGATACTTTAAAAAAAATTATTAAAAAACACATTTATAAATGTAAAAAAAAACAAACAAAAAGAATGTAGCAAAATATTAACCATGATTATCTTAGAGTGGTGGGGAAATGGTAATTTTTTTCCTTTTACTTTTCTGTAATGAATAATACTTTTTTGTTATGCAATATAGTTTAAAGTGTTATGCAAAGTATGGTAATTATAAGAGTCAAATGAATGTGAATTATTAAGAATAATTAGTTATGTTCTCTATTTTTCTTATTAGAATTTAGGTCCTGAATATGAACATATGTTTAACATGTCATTACAGTGGATTTTTGAAAATGGAAAAGATGTTGGAATAAGGTAAAGGACTTAATTTCTACTTTGATCATTTTGTAGTATAAGAAGTGATTTTGCTTCTAAATTCTCCCTTTATTTTTAAATAGGTGTGTCGGCTATGGCCCTGACGAACAATTGACAAATGTAACTGATGTGCAGTTTTTACAATCCACAAGACCACTAATGTCTTTTTGGTGTCGTTTTCGGCGCGCTTTTATTACTGTCACCCACAGGTTATTGTTGTTATGTTTAGGTAAGTTGTTAGGATGACAAAGAAGATACATTGTATTTTATAATTTTTGTGTCTGTATTTCACCAAATGCTAGGATTGATAATTTATGTCATTATAAATCACATCTAAAACTCCTCTAAGATATAATAATATTGAAGTTTTTAAAAATAATGTCAGCATCAGTTTAGAAAACAGTACTCAGGTATAAGTGCATAGATGGAAATCTACTTTAAAATAGAAATGGAAAATATAAAAATTAAGGTTAGTTTTTAAAAATAAAATATAAATATTTTAAGTAAAATATTATAAATATGGCAAGGTATGCATTTTTATTAAAATTAT